GCGCAATGCACAGAAAAGATGAAAGCGATTATTGTAGTCATGGCGACCTTGGAAAAAGGATTCAAGTGTATGAAGATTAAAAAACCTGATCTTATATGATATATTATATATACAAGCATTAGTTGATTAAATTTGCCGTATACTACATAATTTTTACTATGAAAGTAATAATTTTATTCGTTTGGAGGCTCATCTTTATTGGGTACTTTCACACAAATAAATCTATTCGATTGATGGCACTTTTAAAAATTTAATGATTATTTTTTCTACAATATCATTTATTATATAATAATGAAGGCAGAAAGAGTTTCAACAGAAAATATACAAATCTATTCTAAGGAGAAACTAAAAATTATGATAAAAACAATGAAGCTGAATTATGAGAATATGCAACATTCTTTTCAACTTAGTATGAAGTTAATCATCTAATCCTCCAAATTTTGTGGAATAATCATTATGTGCAATATTTATATGAATTTAGCAATAGCACATTAAATTTTAGATACATAATGTATATTTGATTGATTTTAACTTTTGTAGGTTTTAGTATAGAGATGAGAATAGATTTGGAGTAGTTTAGCTAGTCTTTCATTAGTAATTAAAATGTGTGAATTAACTGACTATTTTATTCAATATTATCTAGACTTTAAGATTCAGTTAATAAATGAACTGTCTACTATACATCTTTACTTATAGCTCAGGTAACTGTAATATAAGAAAGAAATTGCCATCTACCTAGATGTTAGAACCTATTTAAATTAACTCGAATAGTCTTCGCATCAAATTGATAACTAAGTAGCTTGGCCAATTGATTTTATGTGCAAGTGAAATTTTATACTTTTAACAATTATATTTTAACATTTATTCTTGTTCACATTAATATTCACTAATACGTTTTTACATATAGAAAGAAGAAATATCTTTACATGTTAAATTTACTTTTAATTCGAGATTGGACACCATGAAGGAAATCAAATAGTTATTGCCACGCATGTATAAATTGATGAAATTGTTAATTTTGCAGATAAACGATGATATTTGATCACGTTCATTTACTTGAAGTGGTTTGGTTTCAGAACGCCTGATAAGATTGTTCATTAATTGCGGATTGCTAAAAAAAACAAACAAATTTAAAACTGTAAACAAATCAAAATCAAACAGCAAATGTATCATTTATTTCTGATATATTCCTCGCAAGTTCGTCAATTATTCAAAGCAGATGTAATGCATTAGGCGTGCTAAGAATACCGCAACCGCACACTAACCGACTTTAGACTTAACATCATCAACCGAGAGATTTCACCTCAGCGCCCCCTTGGAGGGAAAAGCGAAAAACTGGTTTGGGGATACCAACACGGAGGGAGCGTAGCGATACAACACCAAAACAGCTGGTCTACGTAAAATCGATACAACCAGACAGTACAGCGATACAAGCTACGGGGAACAGACGTAGCTCTACGAGGGATTATTTCGACGACTTCCGAATTCAGGAGAAAGTGATAACTAATTTGAACTGAAATTTAAATTAACTTCAACTTCGGAAAACACTGATGCAATAATAAGCTTAATTTAGAAATGTGATCCTATTAGAAAACGTTGAAATATCAACTAGAAACAAATATCTGGCAAATCTATCTACGTCTATGATAAAGGCTCTTATAAATGAGTTTGTAAGTTATATTTTCTACTTTTAAATAATTCTAGATGCAACATTTTTAACTTTTTATCGAAACATAATACATGGGGTTGGTATTTACCTAGTCACTTGGCAAAGCTTATTTGAAAGTAAAAAAACAGACAATATAATTAAAACATATATAAAATAATGTATAATGCATTAATGAAGAATTAAAGGTATTTAGAGTATGAGAAAAGACAATATTCATAAGTGGATAAAAGTACTTCAAAGTGTCAGAAGATATAAAAATCAAGATAATAAAATGCAATTTTTGCATTATCCATATCATACGAAAAACTATGATTAAACCTATCAGAGTTTTCAAGGGAGCTTATTCAAAGTTCAGAAGTCCTAATTTGAATATTTAGTAAAATCTATGTATACAAAAAGCATGTATTTTAAGGTTAACATGTATATTATACTAAATAAATTAATGCATGAAAACATACTATATTTTATTTTTTTTATTTGAAGAAAATAGCGAATGAAGAAGGTATGCAATTTTGCTTATTATCAACTGAATGTGTTTTAAGAATAAAGTTGCGATCACCCTTAATAGATTTTCATATTAAAGCTCCTAACGCTTTGGGGAATAAATTTCATTCATAGAAAGAAGTGTTTTGCCGGGCAAATGAAGATTACTAAAAAATTCCGTTCGTAAACTCGTTTACAAAGAGTCAAATCCAATTGATTATTACCCTGACAATTAAAGTATCGTTTCGCCAATCAATTGATTATCGACTTGAATTCACTCATTCGACTTATTGACATTGTGCGTATTTCCACGTTTGGTGTTGTTTTTAATTAACTCAAAACATAGTCGGTTGAGCAGTCTGTCGAATGTGCCGAATGTGTGCATGTAAAAGCGTAGCCGGTATATATTATGCTGAGCACACCACGCCCAGCATTCAGCCGAGAGAGCGTTGCGGAAATCTCATTCATTCCCCGAACAAATTCTGCCTTTGACGTTTCAATGAGAAAGTAATGACACATGATATTTTATATATGCGATTTTCTGATGTTTGTTATATTGAATAACGCGCCTTGCATTTTGCAGAAAGCGGGGACCGAACGCGAAAGCCGCGGCCGGAGCTTTAATTAAAGCTTCGTGCGCGCATATCAAGCGGCGCATATAATTGGATTTGCACGGCGATTATTTTTTATATTATAAGTTTGTGACACGAAAATTTTAAATCTGATATTTTGCGTGTGCAAGGGAAATCAATCGCTTTATAAAGGAATAAGTGAATTAAATATGCATATATAGATATTCTTCATAAATAGAATCAATTATCTGAGGAGCCAGTTCTCCGGTAAATAACATGAGTCGCTATAGTAGAATTAATATTTTTACGGATCAAAAAATTTTTACTGAGAATATTTTTACATATGTATGTATGTATATGTATAAAAATAAATTTATTTTTATTTATATCCGAATGTATTTATTCGCGCTGTATAGCCGCCAGATCGGGGGAATGGCAGTTTTTATTCTTTTCATCCGGCTAAAGAAAATCCCCGCGCCGAGCGTAATGGAAAAACTAGCGAGCTTGTTTTGTCTGGGATTTATTTATGGAACGCAGTAGGAAAAGTCAAAGCATGCATCATAAATAATAACAGATGGGGCGATGACATGTGGCATTCTATTGCGAAATGGCAAATTGTGCGGCTGAGGAGCAAAAAAGAAAATCTACTTTCTCGCTTTCAGATCTAGGCGATGGATAAATTTATTTAAGTTTTTACATATTCTTGACGACAATAACGAACCACGGCTTGCTATATAATCATAAACATAATTCTAATGTCATCAATTAGTCTATCTTCAATGCTCATCAAAACATCAGTATTGCATTGATTTAGTTCTTTTTATAGTAAGCCCGGTATAATAAAATATTTATCATACTACTATATTTGGATAGAATACTCTGTTGTATTCCACATGATTGGATTAATTTCTAACTCAATTATATGTGTAAACATACTGCCTCAAATCAACTCTGTTCGTAGGTATATCAAAGTCCTTAGGGACCACTTAAATATAGCTATCCAATAATAGTTTCGTGTATCAAATTTCTAACATAGTTATATATATATATAATATATATATATTATATAAATGTAAATGTATATATAATATTACTATAACGTTTAGGATAGTTAGTTTTGATGTTAAGATAAATATAAATTATTTGAAAACATTACATGAAAAAATAGATAGTGCTTAAACTTTATTTTTCCATAACTTTGGATATATATTTTTATGACACTAGTGGATAAGAACTAAACTAAATGAGAATTTAACAGTCCTATAAGTGATGTGATGATGCTTTTGAATGATGTGGTTATTTATAACGTAATCCAACGGTTGACCTATCTTCATTTAATACATATTATTAGGATGGTGCAGAAATAACAAATAAGAAATATTTTCACTTGATAGAAAACCTAGTTGACATCAGATTGTCTGAGGTGGGTATGGAATGTCGATTTTTCTGGTTAAAAGACCAAAACTCCAACTATGTACTAAGTCACGTAGGAATGAGTCAACAAATACATTAAAAATTTCACTCATTCAATAACATTTCTGTGATTTGGCTTCATATGATTTCTCGTTTCTAATAACATTAAATCATAAAAATAAATTCTCGACAAAAAGCAAAACCACCACAAAGCTTTTCCCATATTACACGAGGGTGTGTCATATAAAATTCGCCGGCATTTCTGCAGACAGAGAACGACTTGGCGGTTTTCTTCGCCCTGTTGACAAGAACAATGAACAAAAACTTGTCCTCGCTAATAGGGCTTTACAGAGCAGTTTTTGTGCCATTGTCTAAGCTTGTTCGGGCAATTAGAAGATTTATAATGCTTTGCGGATGATATTCATTGGTTGTTTTAACAGTTCTCGACTGTCAAGCTAATGGAAAACCGGAATGATTTAATCATGCTGATATGGTAATAAGAGCGAGAAACTCTGAAAGCTCTATAGAGTGCTAATCAAATTTGAATCGCAAACACCATGCAAAACAACGTGTTTCTGTTTTGGTTGGGCTGATGTATGATGGCTTTGTTGAGAAATTTGGGTAATAAATTAGGAAAAGCCATGGTAATTGTTTCAGAAAATTAAAAGATTACATCCTTGTTTTACCGCAAATAAAAGTAGTACGAAACTGAACTAAATAAAAACTTCTAAAATTTTTGAGAGAAAAAAAAACAATATTTTTTTAAGATCACTAATCAGCTATAATTATCTTACCAGCATAGCATTATAAATTATCTCAAAGTTTCAAATTTTGCATCCCATAAAAATTATAAAAACTCCTACCTTTATGATGCACGAATTTCCTGATTAACCATGAAACAAGTTATCCTGAATAATTTGGTGAAATGTGCTCTTACCTGTAACAAACAAATAAGTATTAAAATCGTTATAATCTAATCAAATTATAATAGTTTTGACATGGTTATCTTTAATTATAAAAATTAATTCGTATGATACAAAAATATTTTTGAAAAGAATTATTTTCAAGACTGAAAAAATACGTTGTGTTTCAGCTACACTTATACTTTAAATAAATTTCAGATTTATAACATAACTATTTGAAAATTTATTGATGTGAATTGGTTAAAAATACTAGTATCTTCAATATAATACTGCATTTATCTCAGATTCGTGCATCGGACACAAATTAAAATTATTTGACTACGCAGATTTAGGTTAATAATCTAAATCTAATAAGTCTACTGCAAACAGTTCGTTGACACGAATTTAATGTAATCTTTCACTAAACAGCATCTACTGATAAGACCTATTGCCAAATTCTGAATTATACATGATAATTATACATCTAGATCATCTTATAATGCGTCCACATAAAGTATTATTCATTCAGATTAGCGTTCTAAATTTTTTAAGTACCATTAAATCAGAACAAGATTAGTTTTTAAGAGATATCCTAATTATGTAGGTTACTTGTTTTGATATAAATAGAGTCGATGTAGAAATAATTTTTATACAAAGTTGTATAAAGCTACGAGAATGAACAAACTGGTAAGTTTTTTTTAATACTATTACTATTATTTTATTTCACTTTTCAAATATATTTGATGTTAATCTATTTGCTTTAAATATTTTTTCAGATTGCTTTATTTGCCCTTGCTGCAGTTGTTGCTGCAGTAGTTGCCATCGATGATATCGAGGCACACATTGGAGATGAACCTACTAAGGATTTAGTTGATGTTGATGTGTTAGATGAAAAACAAGAACCCGAGTCAAATGATTCTTCTGATCTTGTCAATGTCGAATTAAGATTTAAGAAAAGAAGACCATATTCTTCAAAGCCTGAAGGAAAAAATGCTGGAAGCCAGAATGATATTGTTGACGAAATCCTGGAAGCAGTGCTATAGACTCTACATTGGAAACCACGGCCACAGATGAAACACATTTATTTGAAACTTATTTTTATTTGTTTATTGCTAAAGTTGTTTAAGAATTATTTTTTTGACCACTAGTAAATTAATAAAATTAAAAGTTAATATATGAAATACAAATGTAATATGAACTTACCGGTTTATAATCAGTTATACCAGTTACCGATAGTAATGTTATTGCTTTAACAATTTGATTTCTTCATTAATTTCAAAACTAAATAAATTATTTACACAAACATTAAAAAATCGTTTTTATTTACTGACTAAACATAAAGATATGACAATAAAATATTGTACAGTCTATGTCCACAACCCAGTGGTGTTTCAGTGAATATCATCGCGAAACAAAAACTTTCGGAATTAATTTACAAAGAAAGTTTATGGGCAACAATAAGAACAAATATAATGTATGACATGATGATAACAGTAACGGGAGTTGGCGGTTTTTCTGACAAAGAAAAAAGTTTGTGTCATCTATTCTCATGAACTGCCCCCATGGGTTCAGCGGTCGGTATGTAAAACTTTGCCGGCATAAAATATACAAAACAAGCTGGGGTTTAATCATATTCTACGATGAATAATAATAAAAAATATTTGCACCGTTTGTATAATGCATTTATATACTGTCAATCAATGAACATTAGTTGCAACAAATTATTTAAATTTACATATTACATGAAAAATGTTTACCTATAATTCTTTCTTTATCTATAATTCAGTATTGCCATATGATACTTAGTACTGTTTTTGATAGTAAATTAGAGCAAGGATACTACTTTTGAGTCAAATAATATATCCATAGTTTTGATAACTATAAAAGCTCTGATATCAGCTTTCGAACGAAGCGCTTCACACGTCATGAATTGAACATCGGAAAAACCGTCCTAAAATTAATGCGCGCTATAAATCCGTCTACACCGGGACAAGAGCGGGACCATAGCGGGACGAGGTCGTATCTAGTACAATAGTGTGCCGAGATACATGGCACATTTTGGGACTATGTAGAGTGTCCCGGGCCAAAGTCTGTACCCGCGGGCAATGTTCTCCCTTTGTAATCGCTCGTACTCTCTATGAGTAATGAACCGCACACTATGCGGAACGCGACGTTACAAACCGTTACCGCCTTTACCGCCGTTACCGCCGCGTTCTAAAGCGCCTGCCGTTCCATTGTTTTCAGAACTAACAACTGGAGTTGACGCATTGTGTCACGTGTATATTTTGTATACACTCCACTCGGGCTCCGGGGTTAAAGCACTAGTGATGTTGTAAAGATCAGATGATATTTAGAACACTTATAATATATCAAAAATTTATTAAATATTTTGTGGTGCAATAGAAAATCATTCTTGTTTTCATTAGTAAAGATTTCCTAAATCTGCTTGTTATCATTTATTTTTGTTCGGTACTTTGTTCATTTTAGTCTTCGAAGAATAATTTCTTTGGAATTCAATTTGAAAGAAAATTTACTGAACAATCAAATAAAATAAGTGGATGATTTTTTCAACTAAAACATCTGGTGTAGCCGTCGCCGTAAAATTATAAAATATCATTTCATATAACGATCAGGAGAAATTTTGTAATCCCGTAAATAGGGAACGATCCTGCCCAGGATCGACGGCACGACCGGAAATTCCGTCGGGCCTGAAATTCAAATAAATTTTTAGTCTAGTATTAACAGTCAAAGAAGTAAATTGCTCCAACAAGTAAAAGATAATATAACGTTTTTTAATCATTTAATATGATTTCAAAAGAATATAGCCATTTGAAGCATTGATGCAAGAATATAATCACAATTAAATTTGAATGTATCAGGAGTATTAAAAAACAAAAAAAATTCCTGCTGTTCTGATCGCTGTTTAACATTTATATGATAAAAACATTTATACTATTTTTTTTCTTAAAAATGCAACGGTTTTTTAAATAACCAGCAACAGATGTACAATATAGTCGTAGCTATCCTATACATCTTAATGATATTTGAAACTCAAGACGAATTCAGAGAAACGATAAACAATCGACATATATAAGAAATAAAATTCATACTATGAATAATTAGGAATATTATGAGTGGAGAGATTTTTAAACCACAAAAGTCTGGATTAATTAAAAAATGAGAATTTCAATATTTTCATATCATGATGATAAAGCTTAAGAAATGATCAATTTTTAGGGTTCTTATATTTTTGTCTTAAATAAAATCTTATAAAAACAAGATGATTTGATTTTATAATTCTTACATAAATAAATTAAAAAATCCTTGCTCGGTTAATAAATAAATAATATGTATTCGAAATTCCCCAAATTCACATCACTAACATCATGATCACCTTGTATGCCACCGCTGATGGTATTGCATTAAACTTCTAATCATAAGTGCTAAAGTGTTAAATCTAAATGACAATGTTTGTAAATTAACTGGCAATGAATTGAAGAAGGACTTCACAATTTGTCAGAAAATGGGTAAACAAATACACGTATGTGGCAATATTTACATTAGAAGACGAGCCTGGTGTATTTGATGAATTATTTAATCTATGTTGATTTTTATTTATATTAACAGTTTGAGTGGAAAAAAACTTACAATTTTAGACATCACTTTTTCTAAAGAGAGTCGAGCTCAAAAATAGTTATCATAATATTTTTTAGTCCATTCAGGATCAAATGCGTTGCACAAATCTATAAATAACCAGAAATGCTTTACTCGGAATTCCTATTACAATAGAAGAAAAACGAGTGCAGTCGCGTATTGGCATAAACCATGATCACCATCAATCACTATACAGGATACAAAGTACTGGAAGTAATCTTACGCCTTCCTGACTCTTCGTTCCTTGCTCCTTGCTCCTGACTCCGAGCTAAGCAGATAGACTTACCCCAGCCAAACACATGTGATGGATACACTGACGTTATATATGGTCTCTTGTGATAATGCGGGTATACGAAGATTTTTATAGATTACCGTAGCAGAGGCAGCAGGTAAGTGATTTTTCAATTGGTTGTTTCCAACGAGATTTGTGATGGTAATGTTACTCACTTTGAGAGATGTAATAGATTTTTATAAATAAAAATGTCGCACAATGTAATAGATAATTTCACACGCAACTTAGACTTGGTAAAGTTCAAGCCGAAACTATTGACGACTCCTTAGTATTAAATTTAAGTTTCCATTTATTTGGGGTTTTGCTATAAATTTTTTTCTTCCATATTCCCAATGATTACTTTCCAAATTTCCATTATCCATGTCGGTGCTAAAAACTGTAAAAACATATTACGCAATCTCATTTGGCAGTATCGTAAAATCAATTTGTATAATTTAGCATAGGGCTTATCATTCGGTCCCTTGTTCCAGTCTAGTTTATGTTCGTTTTCTAAAACAATCCACTTCTCAGAAGGGGAGCACGTTTACATAAGAGATGATTTTCCGGATCGTTGAGATTTAATATTTTTTTTGCATTCGCCCGCTTTTACTCTCGACTTTTTCCGGTTCCCCGTAAAAGCGTATTGTCGTTGTTTCTTCAAATAATTTATGGAGCTCCGTGTGTATGCGTGTAAGATGTTGTCTTCCTTTTAATCTAGATCAGTATAAAAGCATTGCACCGGTACAGGAGTTTAAAAGCGAAGATTTCATGTTGCGACATTACAATTTATTGTACTGCCGTGGATACGAGTTCAGGTAACGTAAATGTGCCTGCCCTCTTACGTAATAGTTATGGGGAGATATTAATTTGCAGTCGAGAAATATTATTTTGAAAAATATTGATGAATATTTATTTTTGGGTCACAAGGTACTTCTCATAAAATTGAATATAGATGCAAATTCTTCAGTCCAATGTATTAATTCTTGAATAAAGTTTTGATTGACAAAAAAAATGTATTAATTCATTTCAAATCAACTTTTACATATAAGTATGGCCAATTGAGTAATAGAATTTGTGTACATAATAGTACGAGAGTATATAATAGTGTTT